TTGGGTTGGAGTGTTCGATGTAAGTTAGATTTCAACCTAAAAAAATGCCAAGTTATGACAATTACCCGCCAAAAGGACCCCATTTCTTTTGACTACCGCGTGAACAACGAATCGCTAAAAGGAGTGCATGAATGCAAAGACTTAGGAATAACCTATGATTGCAAATTATCATTTAAGAAACATGTTGAACATATGAGTTGAAAAAAAATCCGTTTTTCCGTTAATCAGCTGTCGCCGCCCTACGAACGACAACTAGAAGTTGAGAAACTTGTGCGAGCTGAGGCCTAACGAGTTCTTAACTTTTAACGTGTGATTCCTAACACGGTTGCAGAATAATCCCAGCTTCAACCAGATAAATTCCCTCGAGGAAAATATCTGGTCGAGGCAGGGATCGAACCCACGTTCTTTCGATCGTGAGTCGGGCGCACTAACACCGGGGCCAATTCCACAACAAATACCGCAAATCGAGCTTTAGGATTCATTTCAAGACATACTTCTCTTTTCAGTAACATAGATTCCATGCAAGTACTCTATTTCACGCTAGTGAGATCTAAACTCGAATACGGTAATGTCATTTGGAATGGAGAATACCAAACAACCTTACAGGAACTGGAAAAAATACAGAACAAATTTGAAAGGTACCAATATTATAAGAAATATCGTAGTAAACCGCATTACAACAGCATTAGAACATCACAATTGAAAACTCAATTTGATATACCCTCTTTAGACTCTTAATCATGCTCCGTCTGGCAAACGACATTTGCAGAAGAAGGTAGAAGACGAGATAGACCGCCTGGAAGAAATAGGAATTTTGACAAAAATTGAATATAGCGAATGGGGTACGCCAATAGTTCCAATTGTTAAGAAAGATGGTACTATTCGATTGTGTGCCGATTATAAGGTTACAATTAATAAAATTCTCAAAGATGATCGATATTTAATGCCTAATGTGGAAGATATATTTGCTACAAGTATGATTGGTGGTAAGCTTTTCACAACTCTCGATATCAGAGAAGCTTACCTTCATATGCCTATGGATGATAATAGCGCCAAAATCCAAGCTATAACCACAACGAAAGGAGACAAGAACCTTATCCGATATACCGGGGGTAGGCGTATTTCTGGATGATATCAAAATACAAGGATCAAGTTTCCATGACCATCTTCAGACATTAAAAAAAGTTCTAAAACATTTGCAAGATGTTGGCCTAAGAGTTAGAGAAGATAAATGTAAATTTTTCGAGTCCAAAATTACTTATCTGGGACATACTGTATCTGACAAAGAGCTAGAAAAGACTCCAGAGAAGATCAAGGCAGTAGTCAATGCAAGAATTCCAACAAACACATCTGAGCTGAAGAGTTGGCTGGGACTAGTAAATTACTATAGTAGATTTCTCAAGAATCTAGCGACGAAACTATCTCCACTGTATAATTTACTCCAGAAAAATGTTACTTTTCAATGGACAGAACAGTGTCAAAATGCTTTCGATCTTATGAAACTAGAAATTACATCAAGTGAAATTCTCTGTCCATATGATTCTAAGTTACCATTAGTACTGGCTACAGATGCAAGTCCCTATGCGCTTGGAGCAGTTCTCTCCCATATAATGCCGGATGGCACTGAAAGACCGATTGCTTACGCTTCCAGGTCTCTCAGTAAATCAGAGAAAAACTATAGCCAAATAGACAAGGAAGCTACTTCGATATTTTGGGCTTGCAATAAATTTTTCCGTTACTGTTATGGGAGAAAATTCCGACTGATCACAGACCACAAACCATTAGTGTCCATTTTTCATCCAGAGAAGCATCTTCTTAGTATAGTGGCTACTAGAATGCTTCATTATGCTCAATTCTTACAAGGCTTTGATTACGAAATTTCATACAGATCAACAGAAAAGCATGCGAATGCAGACGCCTTATCTGGATTACCAGAAACCGCAAACACAACATATACTTCCATTGATACAGTAGCACATTACCAATTACAACAGTTGTTAGTTCTACCAGTAACGCATACTGAAATTGCCAAAGAAACGCAAGCGAATTATATTCTAATGAATGTCTCTCTCTGGCAACGAATACACATTGACTTCGCTGGTCCTTTCATGGGTAAATATTTCCTATTAGCAATAGATGCATTTTCTAAATGGCCAGAGATCATTTCCATGACTTCTATGGTAGCTTCAAGAACAATTTCCATTTTACGTAATCTTTGTGCCCGTTATGGTCTACCAGTCATTTTAGTTAGCGACAATGGTCCAACATTTAGATCTCAAGAGTTTGAACTGTTTTTGAAAAGTAATGGTATCCTGCACANAATGGCCAGGTTGAAAGATACGTCCAAACAATGAAAAATGCACTGAGGAAATTGACATCTAACCGAGACAATTTGGATTGTAAATTGGCCAACTTTCTAATGCAATATAGAAAAATACCAAATTCAACTACGGGAATGTCACCTGCCATGCTTTTTTTACAAAGAGAAATTCGTACAAAAATTGATTTACTCAGATACATTGAAAATGAAGACAACAAAAATTTAATTCGACCTCAAATGAAGTATTTCATCCCTGGTCAACGAGTTCGAGTTCTGAATTATGATAAAAGCTCGAAATGGAAATTCGGAAAAATTGTTAAAAGAGAAGGTTCACTGCATTATAACATCGAGGTTGATGGTAAGTTGTGGCGACGACATTTGGATCAAATAGCGCCAACGGAAGTAGATTGGTCGGATAATTACAGAAATATCCGATGTTGCTCTTACGGAAATATATCACCCAATGAAGGCATTAACATATCTACCACTCAAAGTTCCAATCAGGAAACAACGGAAATGGATAATGAACAACAGGAAGGGATTTCTATTTCACTACCGGAGAATGAAGCATCAATTTCTGACTATTCATCTATAGAAAATTCGGATGGCAATAAAGATCAACAAACGAACACATCAAATACTGAGAAGAGCAATCAAGCAGTAAGGAGAGGTACGCGAGTGAGAAAACCTGTGCAAAGATTAAACCTCCAAATAAAGGGAAAGATATATGTTGTATATGTTCATTTATATTTCACACTGTATAGGTCAAATTTTACCGATGTGTGTAGACAGTGAAGTCTGTCATTCTGTTATCACTTTTGTCATATGCATTTTTGTAATAAAGTATTACGTATTTCTTAACAAGAATTTACATATACAATACACAGAGCCGGCAGAATTCTGCGGCAAGAGCTGTGTGCAATACGAGAGTGACAATGGACAACCCATCTGGAAGAAAACCATGTCCGCCTATACACGGCGAGCAAGGAATAGTCTACTCAGACCAAGAGAAAGCGGAAACATTTGCTGACAACTTCGAAAGGCAGGGTAGAGAAAATGATGTCTCGTTCACGGATAAAGTAGATGAAATCGAAAACCAGGTCGAAGAGACGGTACGAAGGATAAGACGGCAACGAAGGGACAACGCACATCCCCTGAAACCGATATCACCTGAGGAAGTGAAAGGCATCGTGAAGTGACTAGCCACTCGGAAAGCCCCAGGCTTGGACCAGATTCCAAACCGGGCACTGAAAGCCCTACCACGGAAGGGTATAGCGGCAATGACAAACATCATCAACGCTATACTCAGACTACAGCATTTCCCGTAGCCGTTCAAGGAGGCAACGGTCATTCACGTTCCGAAGCCAAAGAAGAATCCTATATTTCCGGATAACCATAGGCCAATAAGCTCAACCTCTACCACAAGCGAAGTGGCATAACCAGTCATCTTGAAAATACTAGAAGACCAAACCAGTTCGGTTCTATCTACATTCAGCATCAACATATGCACTTCTATATCGACAATAGAGATAGTACTTCATCACATATGTCTATCACAGACTTTTTTTGATTTTCAATATCTGAAAGCCTTTTTTTATTCAAATTGAAATTCAGGAATATTCTCATTATCGATATTTGACATTGTCTTCCTAATTGTATCAATGCGAACGTATATGTATATCAGCCTTTCGCTTATCCACCTCATCAAGATCAGATGAATAAATACATTGTCATTTTATAATCTGCCGCCTCTTTCTTGTTTTTATGCATCTCTGAAAGAAGTTCTAAGTCGAATACTCGCTTTTTAAATTCAAAGAATGCTTGAAACTTCTAAAAAACAAGAGTTTCATCAGGTAGGTGATTCACATATCTTCGATGAAAGCCTTCAATTTATTTGAATTGATTTTTGAAACTTCGCCACGTCTTTTGGTTGAATTATCCAATTCTGGTTCTTGTTGTTCTTCGTCTGAAATGACCACTATAGAAATGAAGGTTAGTTCAGCTGCTTGCGTTGTAGCTAATCTTTCTCCAATAGCTTCGTAATCACATATCAACTGATTTAATCCTGCGGGCAATTGATGTTTAAACATTGTTGGTAATGTGTTCATCAATGATTGAAGCTGCTGTCCCATTACTGCATTTGCTCTAATTCACACTTCTGATCGTTATCGACGATAATAAATGCACTGACATATTGAATATATATCCACAACTACTCTATTTGGTTTTCAATTAAAACTATGAGCTGAATGAGTGTATCGACTATTTTTATAGGAATTCCAACCTGCTCCTCCACCTCTGTTATCTTCAATCTATCAATTTTGGAAGTATACATCAAATGTTGAGGTGTTGTTTCACAAATACCGTCAGCAATGAATATAACAATATCATGGGATATTTACACAATGGCGTATATTCAACTGCGTGTTCACCACCTAAATTGCAAAGTTGATACCTATTAAGAGGGTATTTCGAATATTTTTTGGGCGCTCCATTATGTTATTTATGGCTGGTGTTTTATATGCTTTATCTAATAATGATTTAACTCCTTTGAGTGACTAACGAGGTCTTACCTTTTAATGTGTGATTCCTAACACGGTTGCAGAATCATCCCAGCTTCAAACAGATAAATTCTCTCGAGAAAAATATCTAGTCGCGGCAAGAATCGAACCCACGGTACTACATCAGGTATTTCGATTTTGTAAAGCTGTTTAGTGAAAATCTCACGATTAAGTATTTTTTGAATACGTCAGTTATAGATTTTCAACAAGTGTCGCCAATTCCATCATACATCAAGTGCTTTGAGAATATGTACATAGGCGGTGTAACAACGTATATACATTTGAAAAAGATTTTATATTTTATCATGTGATAAGTATTCACAAAGTTTTGATTAGGTTTTTATTTGTCTTATTAATACAAGTATTCACTTAGTGAGAACGAGATTAACCTTGAACAACCTTCATCGATTCACGCAGTAATTTTTTTCATTGTGCAACAAATAGCTCCGAAATGTGATAATACTCTTCATTTCATTTTTTTAATTTTCAACTTAATAAAATGGTGAAAGACTTGAACATTCTCTTTTATTCGAAACAAACATCATTTTTATGTATCATATCATAATTAAAAAAAAAAATTATACTAACGAAACTTTGATTGAAATAGCTTTGAGATATCAATATTTATTATTGAAATACCTAAAATGAACCCATCATAGCCTTGGATGCTGATTTAACCTAAAACCTAAAAGATCACACCTTCAAACTCATTCTTCAGCTAGAACGCCTGGGAATATCGTCTTATGACATGAAATTTTTTTCTCAGAGCGTCGTCTTTTATATGAAACCGAAGAAAAAATTTCCGGAAAATGAAAGTTGAAAATTTTCCTAGGATCTTGCTGAATATTTTATGGAATTGCATTGGGCTTTTCTTCTAAGGGCGTCGTCTTTTATATGAAACCGAAGAAAAATTTTCGGAAAATGGAAGTTGAAAATTTTTCAGGATTTTGCTGGATTTTTTATAGGAAAATGGTCTTTTCAGTTGTTTAGACAGGAAAATCGGGTTTTTCTCAAAGAAGCATCGATGAAATTCATCAGCAGCTTTCGTTTAAGATTGCGACCGCGTTTCTAGCGTGCGTCGTTCATATTTTATTCATGCTTCTTTCGGATTTTACAGCTGAAAATATACCTAAGATATCACACTTTCAAACTCATTCAATCTTCGAAATAACTACATGAATCGTTGGAGGTCATTCAAGATAAAAATAAAAACACTACCTCAAAGTCACCTTGCCTGCGTCGTGACTCATT